ATGATGGTATTCCATGGGATGAACATTGTTGCTGCTGTTGCAAAGCACCTGAATTCAGGACAGACCCCAGTCATGGTTGCTGATCAGCCACTCTTTACACTGGCAAAGAAGATTCCGTGGAAATTTTCAGATGTTTTGGGAGAGGGCAAGTATGTGGTGATGCTTGGGGCACTGCACACTGAGAAAATGCTGTTTGAAGGGCCTAGGGGAGTGGCTGGAAGGGAGTGGATGGGCATCACTTCTGTCAGTCAGTGGTGTGGCTTCAAGTGGAGTTGCTGATTCTATGATGTAGGTGACACATCTGACCCGCACTCGCTACATGCACCAAGTCACAGCTCTTGCTTTGTTTACTGAGACAAACCCATCGTGAATACCTGACAACAACTATTGAAGATGAGCCATTGGAACTGGGTGCTTGGATTAGGTATCAGCGAGACCGAGAACCGTAATTCTTGTACTGGCACCAGACTCTTGAGCTGCAGCTGATGGTTCTGCAGTTTGTGAAGTTGATTCGGACTGCATCGTTTGATCTGTACTTAGTGACTTTTGAACATCTCATGCCATGGGTGTATGCTTTTGATCACATACACTATGTCCACAATCTACCAATTCATCTACGAGATATGTGCTGCCTTCGAGAAATACATCCAACAGTTCATAAAGAGTTCATGAAGGGAAAATTCGTTGGACAGAAGATAAGTCGTGCATTTTCAAGCATTGCCTTGGACCAAATTCATGAGCAGCTCATCGGTTCTCAGAAGGGTGATGGAGGAATAATTATTAGACTGACTAAAGATCCTGTAGCTCTTGAAAGATTTATGATTACTGGACCAAAACTTGCTCGCATCATCGAGGAGTTCGAAAACACACCTCAAAACAGTCACAGGAAGCACCATGAACAGTATCCTAAATGTCCAGAGACTTTCAGAGAAGATGTGAACGGCTTAATCAGTGCATTCTCTGATGTTGGAAATCCTTTCCTTGAAGTGTCGGGGCAATTGATTTCTCTTGACAGGTCCAGAATCATGACAGGCGATGTTATGAGCTCAGTGAGAAACATCACAAAAGTTGGAAAAGACAAGTATGATACATTCTTTTCAGAAAGGGTTACATCAAGCACATCACCATGGACCTCCACCTTTCACGTGAATAGATTGCCTCTTTTCGGGGTAAAAGCTCAACAACGTAAAGAAAAATCCGACCTTGCTTCCATGAAGGAAGAACGAACCCAGTTTATTCAAATGATGCTCTCTGGGCACTCAGGAAGGGACATTGGAGAAGAAATGTTTACACAGGAGAACACTACATTACCACCATCTCTCAGTTCCCAGGGTCAGATGCACAAAGGAACAAAATCTGAAATTCTCAAGTAGGCCTACCTCGAAGGGGATATTGAGATTCTACTTCTAATACTTCCCCTAATTCTGATGTTGTTATTCTAGATGGAGCCTTTATCGTGCAATCACTGAGACCTGATACAGCATCAACATTTCAGGATTATGCAGACCAGGTGTTTCTTCCATATTGTGATGTCATGGCTAAAGGGTGTGTCGTGGGATGCCTACAAACACGATAGTCTCAAATCCAGCACTCGGGAAACCAGAGGCAGTGGCTTGCGGTGTCGAGTGACATCATCAACCAAAGTAGCGAGTAACTGGCAAGGATTTTTACGGACCGATGAGAACAAAACAGAACTGTTTTCTCTGTTAGCAGAGAAAATGCAAGAGATGTACACAGAGGGCAAGCAAGTTGATACAACCTTCGGAGAGAATGTTCTCACTTCAACTGTTCGCTCAAGTACTCACGCTTTAGCACCTTGTATTCACGAGGAAGCTGATTCAAGGATTTTTTCCATGTTGCAGATGCGACACATGAAGGATTTAAACACATCACCATTCGTGCTAGTGACAGTGATGTGGTGACAATAGCTGAGTCCTGTTTCCAAGATCTCAACCTTGATGAGCTCTGGATAGCCTTTGGATCCGGAAAATCATACACACGTATATCCCAGTTCACCAGATTGCTTATCAGTTGGGACCATCCAAGTTTCGAGTTCTTCTAGCATTTCATTCTCTGACCGGCTGTGACACCACCTCAGCATTTCACGGAAAAGGCAAGAGAACAGAATGGGCTGTTTGGCAGGAATTCCCAGAGCTCACTGCAGCACTTCGGCGCCTGTCAACATTCCCAAGTAGAATCGATGATGATGTCATGTCCTAAGTAGAGACATTCATCGTTCGCCTTTACGACAGGTCCTTGGACATCACATCAGTCAATGCAGCACGCATGGAATTGTTCTACCTGTACTACAAAGGCAGGCATTTTGAGAACTTGTCATCTACAAAGGATGCATTGCCACAACACACATTACACGCAGCATATCAGGCAGGCCACATCTGGGACAAAGCCCTCATCTGTTCTCCAACCTGGCCTGACCCATATGAATGGGGATGAGTCATGACAAATGACAAGTGGTTACCTCGATGGACAACACTTGCCCGTATTACAAAGAACCACAAATGCCTCGTGACATGTCAGTGCAAGAAAGTGTGCAAGCCTCCATGCAAATGTTGGCTGGTGTGAAATGCAGTACTCTCTGTGCATGCAGGGAAGCTTGTTTCAATCAAGGTAAATAATGTGTACATATCAGTGAACATAACGCATTGGTTATAGAAAGAATAGGCAAAATATGGGTGAACCTGGCCTTCTAAGGTGATTTTAAATAACAAAAGCAAAACCACGTGTGTAGTCCTAGCATCTTCCCAAAATTATGATTGTGCGTCATTAAAAAAAAATTTCAAGGCGGCCATTTTTAATGTATGCAAATTAAGAATCAATTTAACATTTTATGATAATTCTTAGATTGTCATTGAGAACACTACATGTTCAGCCAGAACTTACTATGAAACAAAACAACACTTTGATATTTTTATCATTCTTCTGTCAAAAGTTATATTCGGTTCGTATTTTCATTGTACTTCCGTGGCGGCCATTTTTCATTTATGCAGGTAAAGAGTGAATTTGACCTTTTATTATAACTTTGATGGTGCCATTGAGTTTCTCAGCCATATATTTATATGAAACAACACTAAAATTAATGTTCTACCTTTTGTCTGTCAAAAGTTATATCCAGTTATCATTTTCATTTTATTTCAGTGGCGGCCATTTTTAATTTATGCAAATGAGGGCCTGAATATGCATTTGGACCTTGCGTCCGTTTCTATTTTCCATTGATATGGTGTAAGGTACTTACATGCCAAGTGGTTCCTTCCTACTAAAATTTGCAGTGGGTAATGGGACTGCTGGCCTAAGTCAGCCCACTATACCGCTCGCTCAGGTAGCCAATCACAATCCAACATTTTTGGGGTCCACCTAGACACCATAACTACGTAGACCCCAATCGGGGAGTGCGTAGACACTTCCATATTATGATTATTTAAAAACAAATTTCCGAGAAAATAGAAGTAAAGATGTTTGTGCTTGAAGGAGGTGGTGGTTGCTTGGTTAAAGAGATATATTAATTATTGAGAAAACGGCCGTCAAAGTTCGGTAACTTCGAAAGCTTAAGGTTAGTGTCTTTGGACCCTGCAAAGGTTTTGTGTCTTTGATCAACGTTGTTTTCATTAAAAATCCACCCATTATTATGTTTGAAATTGATGTAAATGGTGTTGACATATCGTTATTTTTGTCATCAAAACCACAACAAAACAGGCTGTACGATGATACCAATGCCCCATGCGCTCAAAAATAGAAGAGCACCTCATTGCACAGTGTTGTGACACAGTTTTAATACCTCGCCACCTGTGCTCAGCAAAAGTATTTACTTTCAGCTTAAGAAAATTGGCAGTGTAAGAAATTATTTAACTAAAGCAGCAGCCAAGACACTTGTAACAACACTCATTTTATCAAAGTTAAATTACTGTAATGTTATTTTGTCCGGTTTGACATCCGAAAAACTATCAAAGTTACAAGTACTTCAAAATCAAGCAGCAAAATTGATAATGAAACAAAAGAAATCAGCCCACGTAACACCAATTCTGAAAGAACTACACTGGCTGCCAATAAAAGAAAGGATTAAATACAAAACTGCCGTTCTCTGTTTTAAATGTATAAATGATAGTGCACCTTTTTATCTTAAAACATTCCTGGAATTATATAATCCACCTAGAGCCCTTAGATCAGCCTCTGACAATCTAATTCTTAAAACTCCAAAACAAAACTACAAAACATACGGCGAGCGTTCCTTTTTGTTCTTTGGTCCCCAGGTATGGAACGAAATCCCATATAAAATAAGATCTGCCCCTACAATTTCCATTTTCAAAAATCAGCTGAAGCATTTTTTTATTCACAAAAGCATACCTGTCATAATGATGTACTGTGATATATATGCATGTGTATGCCAGACTGTGAGACTGAAGAAATAGCGAGTGAGAATGAGAGAGAGAAAAAGAGAGAGATAGAGAGAGAAAAGAGAGAGAAAAGAGAGAGATAGCGAGAGAGGGAGAGAGAAAGAGAGAGAGAGATAGAGGGAGAGGAAGAGAGAGAGAGGGAGAGACAGACAGACAGACAGACAGACAGAGAGAGAGAGAGAGAGAGAGAGAGAGAGAGAGAGAGAGAGAGAGAGAGAGTGTGGAAATGTTTTTCTATCTGTATAGAATTAATGATTTAATGAATTTTTCTAGTTACTCACGTTTCAACTGTATTTTGACTGTTCGTGAATTTATATTGCATTGTATATTTTTAGTGAACACATTTTCAACCTCACTGCGAGACTGTTTTTCTGGTATAAAATGTTACACATATGCATTTATATTATATGTATAATACTTTGTTTTACGTACACATTTGTGTCGATTAATTTTTAAGATGTGATGTCTTTTTCATTGTAATGCGCATTGAGCATCTTTTAGGAAATGGAAATGCGCAGTATAAATGCTATTTATTATTATTATTATTATTATTATTAAATGTGCAGTCTAGAAAATAATATCCATACTCACGTTGTGGTTCAAAATGACATGGGTCTTTCTTCAGTACCTTCAGATACGGTTCATAATCACGTTCGTCATAGTCTCGAGCTGGAGGTACACAGAGATTTCCTGATCATCATATTTTGGTGACATAATGTGCCTACTTGTGCAAGTAGAAGATAAGATAAGGATAAGATAAGATACGATAAGATAATATATAATTAGTGCAGAGGGAAATTTTCTTCGCTGCACATGACAATAAAAACACATGCAAGTATGCATAAAATTTTAATTCTATATTTCTCTCATTAAAATTTAATACGGAAAGGGAAGTAAAGCTGATAAAATGTATATATCATACAAGATGCTTCATTCAAACACATGCAGGAATTTAACTACAAGACCTTTAAAGTTATATAGATACATATTTGATGCCAAATGTTCCACAGAAATAAGACGGAGAATTACAATACATACTAGAAAGATCAATACATATTTATGATTATTCTGACAATAACATTACGCTAGATGGTAAAAAACTTTTTTTTATGACTTTCTTTTTATGTTTTTAGAGGTATATATCTGCCGCTGCGGGATTTTACCATTTGCGTGGAAAGAGGTTGTGATGGGTTGTTTATAGCACTTTTATCTTTTGTTATACAATTCATAGATTCTAGTTAAATCGTATCCAAAGATCTTGCTAGCTTTTAAAAATGTTTCTGTTAATTTTTTTTTCTTTCTCTCTAATGTTCCCAGCCCCGCAGCAAATTAATAACAAAAATAGTTACATGATTTTTATCAAAGAAAGGTACATCATCCTATCATCGACACGAAAACTTCTTAATGTCCTGGAACATTCTTTTATTTCCTTTTTCTGCACAAGAGCAGCGTGGGGATGCCAGCCATACTTGTTATCACTTGCTATTCGAAAATATTTGTAAGAGTTTACAACCTCCACCTCCTCATCTTTAATAGTAGCGAGGAATCATCTGCGAATTTTATTAGTTAGATTTTTTGTTGTTAAAAGTACAGTGGTTGGTGTAGAACGTAAACAAGACACTGGAGATTACCCAACCTTAGGGCGTACCGGTGTTCATGAATATTAGGTCGGATTTTATAGTAGTAAAATGTTTCAACTTTTCAAGAACTCAAGAATCCAAGCTAAAGTGTTCTTGTTTATGTTTATGATAAACAATTTTGAAACCTTACGTGGGGTTTGGTTGTGTTGAAAGCAGATGAAAAATCAGCAAAAAGTATCCTGCAACAATTTTGTGATTTGTCTATGTGTTTGTAGATGTTATCTAAGAACACGAGAATAGCATCCTCAACAGCCCTCTTGATACGATCGGCAAACTGCATGTAATCCTGTTGATCCTCAGTTCTTTCAGACCCAGTTTTTCTAAACATTTCTAAAGTACTGACGTTAAAGCCACTGGTCTTGGGTCATTCAAATTTTGTTTTCATTGTTTCTTTGGGACAGGAATTATTTCAGAGCTTATCCACTGGAGTGGCATTATTCGTTCTTTCAAAGAAAATATCAGTTGAAATGGGAAATAACTTAGTAGAACACATTTTAATGATTTTGCTTTTTACTCCATCGGGTGCGGTGGTCGAGCGGTTAGTGCGCTCGTCTCCGAAGCGGAAAGTCTAGGTTTGAGCCTCGGTTTGGACATGATTATTTTCGACCCCTCCAGCCCACGCAGCAGTAACGGGTACCTGACTTCGAGTTGGGGAAGTGAAGGCGGCGTGGAAAGGAACTGGCCACCCTTCCACAATATGCCGAAGGCCCAGGAAGTTGTCTCACTAACAAGGCAATTATCAATGTCCGGATCGGATGCAGGAACAACTTTACTTAACTCCATCGGGTCCACTCGACTTTTGAGCTTTCAGACGATTAAACATCATCTTGACCTCATTAGCATTAACCACCAAAATGTCCCTGCTCTTGTCAGTCATCGTCTGAGTTGTTGTTGTCGTCTTTGCGGTCACTTTGAATCGTCTCTTTGACAGCTGGTCGGAGAAGTCGTAGTTGTCAAAACGAGCGTAAAAATACTACAGTTTGTTCACATACTGACTTGGTTTGGTGTCTTTTGTAGGAATGTTTGTCCGTCTTGATGCGTCTCCAACTATAGTTTTTAAACATTGCCACGTCGGTTTTGTGTTGTTAGAAGTGAAATGTTGTTCTAACCTTTCTTTGTAAATTTACACACACTCTCTCATTTTTTTTCTTTCACATATTATTTGTTGTTTTTTATTTGTCTGTCTTTCGGTCTGAAGGCCTTCTTCTTCTCTTTTACTTTTAATATTTTCTTTAACTCCTTGCTAACCCACGGCTTTTTATTTGGGTAGTAAATAACTTCATTTTTATACTCAGCGGCAGCAGAAATTTTCCTCTTTGTTTTTGTTTTTTTGCAACAGCACCCTTTTTCACGTGAGTTAAGGAGCGAAATTGTGCACAACACTTCACATGTATCCAATGATAAATCCAGCGCTGATCTTTTTCTTTAACAAAGATTTAACCACGTGGCCACGTGACCCACATGTAAATTTATACTTTTTGTGACTCAAGTACCGCCAAAATTATGAAATAGTCTAAATTTTGTTTACATCAACACATTATCGATTTTAGAACCGAAAAAATACAGTTCCAGCTGGGGGTTTTTTCTTTACTTAAATTACTGTACACAAAGCCAAGATGTGAGGCGCGCTGTTGGGCAATTAATTTGAATACTCGAAGCAGTACCATTGACCTGTAGAGTGGTGCGGCTTCTTCATTTCTCCCATCCCACCATCAATATCCTGAAATATAGGTTTCAAGTCATTGCAAGGGGCGACAACACCGCTACTGAGATAAAATTTTGAAATCCTGGGGTACCAGTTTGTGCTTAACATTGTGCCACCATTTGAGATATGATCAAGAAGCAAAAGGTGGCGTACTTCTTGATATATGTGTATGTCAATTTTTGTTTGTATATGTTGAATAATTAGCACAATAGTGGCTTTTCTCCAAGTGGAAAGTTTCTATTGCCGTTGTGTGGAGCAGATGAATGAAGTCGGTCTTCACAAAACCTGATGTAACCAGACTTCGGCTCACGTAATTCATCAATACTGTAGCATGAATCTTTAAAAACATTCCTATTTGTACGTTCAAAACAACCTCTCAGGCTTTCCCTGTTTTCTTCACTTGAGATAGTGACAACTTTTTAAATTGGCTTTGAAGATCAATTGGTACTTCGGTAATGAAAGAGACATGCATTGATCAGAGTTTTTCTATTGGAGTTAGAGAGACACATTTGTAAGCATAACATAGGTCAATAGGGTTGGTGCATTAACATATTGATGGAAAGTGGGGAGGGAAGGAGTTCAAAACATTTGAAAAAATCCCCAGTGATCATTATTAAAACCCTCTGGAATAGAAGATTGTTGTTCAAGTACATTTGTACGTATGTACGTTTGTACATAATGAATGGATTGATATATTATGTATAATATGTAAAAATATAGGAGCAACTGATTCCACAACGTCGTGACACAATTATTTTACTATCTTTTCACCTGTGTTATAACATTAACGGTCCAGAAAGGGTCAATACTCACGTTCAGATAGATAATCACATGGTAGTTCATTTCTCAGAGTCCTCTCCAACTGTTTAGAATCACTTTCGTCATCGTCCAGAACTGCAGGTACAGAGAGATTTTCTTATAATCATAGTTTAGTGACATAACATATGACAAGGAGTGCATATGTATGTATGTATGTATGTATGTATGTATGTATGTATGTATGTATGTATGTATGTGTGTATATGTATGTAGGAATGTATATACAGCGCAATTGAAACGCCCCACTTACACCTGGCAGGCTCAGACCAGGCAGACCACGGGTCATTGCTTCCCATAAAGACAGACAGATACTGCTCGGGTATCTTCGAGATGGCTTTCTCTCAACGGCCAGCTCTGCTTGTCCGTTTTATACGCACACTTTAATAGTTATCCGTGACAGAACCATACCATGGTGGTTGATTACGTTCGAACTTTGGTTAAGGCAACCTGCGCCAAATAGGCTTGAACTAGACAATTCGTCACATTAGTTAACCTTCATAGGTAAACTTCATTACAATGTGAATATGTTGTTATTATTTTTTTCCTCAAGCAAGCCACAGTTGTGATTGAGTCACATTGATGGCGTGCAAGAGTTTGGAGACGTCAAGGAGAGAGACTATTAGACTGCTGCTTACATGAAATAGACGGATGGGGCAGTGGTGTGTGATAGTGTTGGGCGGAATATCTTCCAACCACAGAACACAACTTCACGTTTCCAACACCACAATTAACACCAACAAGTACCAGAATGTTCTCCGGATATACGTATAGACGTATGAATATATTCCAGCAAGCAGTGCACACCAACAGGTTCCCCGCTAAAACAAGCTGTATCTGCAGCAGTTATTGCTTTGCCATGACCACCCTACTCGCCAGACACGTCACCCATAGAATACATTTGGGATAAGTTGACCCAAAAGTTGAGCGTCCAAAACGACATCAACATTGTACAAAGACCTGGACACGCTTTGGTTTCAGAGATGATTCAAAGATTTGGAGTTTCACATCATGTCAAGTTTTCTCGAATGCAATTCTTTGAACATCTTGATAGTGGCTCCCAATAAACGAACGATTTGGATAGAACATATTATAGAATATATTTTGGATTCAGACTTCAGGGTCTTAGTAACTCAAACCGGTCAAAAATGTCACATAGAACTTAGTCATGATGATGTAGCGAAATGTCAAATGTTTTTTGTGAGGTTTTTTGTTGTTGTTGTTTTTTTTTGTTTGGGGTTGTTGTTGTTGTTGTTTGTTTTTGTTTTTTTTTGGGGGGGAAGGTTACCACTGCCTATTTGCCTATCACTTTGCCTATAAATGTGCTTTCGTCGATGTCACAAAAGGTGCTGCCAAGTACTGGGTACTTTTTACTTCAGAGACAAAAAGATAGCCTTCATTGTATTAGTCCTTTCAGGAATCATGAAAACGAGAAAATAACAAGCCTTGACCTGAGCAGTCAAATGCATTTTGATTGCGTTGAAAGGTGCATTTTTGACAAGGATTTGTGAGGGTGCAAAAATGGAACATTCTCAAAATTTGGGCTTACGTGGATTGCTTGTGACGGCGACGATTGTACTCACGTGGTGCCTGTCTCCGATTTCTAGAAAACAATCCCCAGTTTTGCTTCTCACTCTGTGACGACGTGGTCAGACCTGGCGGGATGGGGATGGAGTAGGTAAGAGTGAGTGAGCAATGAAAGATGGATTAAAATAAAGGAGTGATCGCATGATTGAGTAAAAAAAGACGAGAGAGTGAATATGTAAAGACACATTGTTTGAACTATAGTATTGAAGTGCAACCTGTAATACGGATAGAAAGATAGATAGATACCAACCAGAGGCGAAGCGTCTATATAATCAAATAATCACTGCTTCCCTTCCTAATTTTGAAACATTGTCGCAGTCAAATTCACAAATAGACGTAAACCTCATAAATTAAATGTAAAAAGACGTTCATAATCACCAATGAACAATAGACTATGCCTAACCTTCAAAACCGTTTCATTGCCACAAAAATAGCCTGTTCGCCCCTATCGGGTCACTCCATAAGCAGTCACAAGCTTTGATTAAGTAAGCTTAAAGTGAGGCTGGAAGAGTCAACCAATGGATCTGAAGGGAACATGTGCATAGCAGTCAGAACTGTTTCATTGTCGCATAAACCTTGTTCACCCCTTTCGGGCCACAGTTATAAGCACCCAGACGCGCTGATTATCCAAGCGAACTATTATACTAGTCGAGTCTACCTCACAGTTGTGAGGGGAACTAACTCCTAATAATCCTTTGACTCCTGCTACCACACTGCTAGTGCTTGTTTTTTTCCTCGACTTTTTAACGTCCTATAATCAGATCGTGACCTCGATTATGACAGCGGCTCCTGGCCGCGAAAAGCTAGACAAAAAGCAGCCAAATGTGAAATAAAAAATTGATAGTTGGCGTGCTCTATCAAAGTGTTTCGGCTGTCTGGTATAACATGCCATTGTGACATCTGTGCTTCTTTCCTTGGTGTTCGTGTGTTCAAATCTAAAGTTAAATTTAAGGCTAGTTAGAATAAATATTTAATGAAATACTTTCCCGATTATTTTAGCGGTTGAACAAGCATACAGCATGAATTCAGGATTTGTTTTCATTCACAACTCAGCAGAGTTGCCGCCTCCAGTGCCAGTAAGATTCTTTTGACTTGTGTGAGTGTGATATCTCCAGGCCCTATCTGGTCCCATTTCACTTTGATTACCCTGTCAAACAAGTCAGCCTTCGCCTCTGATACCAACAGTGCTTCCTTTTCCTCTTTTTTCCTGTGGGTTTTATTGTTACTCTAGGTTATTGTGTGTTGATAGAGAAGAGCACTACCCCACAAGAAATGTGTACCCAGGATCAATTGACACGCGAGAACCATCTGCGTCAATGTGCAGTTTCAGATACCGTGTTGGAACATCTTTCACGTTTTGGAATAAGAAAGTCACCATGCCCATGTAATACACGTGTAAACAAATACAACAGAGGTCATAGAGCAGGTACAAGAAAACAAAGATAAATCGATGTTATAATAACTAATTCCACCAAGTAAGACAAACATAAGATTCGTGGATCGGTGACACTTAACAACTTGATCCCAGTGAACACGTCGAAAGAAGAACGGATGTTTTACCAAAGATTTCAAGTACTTCTGCTTAATGCTCAGTCAGTTCGTCACAAAACTGTGCTTCTCAACGATCTAATCTCGGAAATGAACATTGATCTCGCATTCTTAACGGACATCTTGTTGACTTCATGTCTTTTGCAAGAACTAGCGCCCATAGGATTTTCTGCTTTTCCACGACTTACAGGTCGAGGTGGAGGTATATGTGTCATTTCTAGAAATGGGATGTTATGTAAGTCCCACTGTCTCACCGATTACTCCAGCTTTGAGTGCTCAAAATCTGAGCTTTTAGTCAATAGTCATCGAATCACATTCCTATGTATGTACCGCCCCCCTTACACGTAGAAAAACAAGTGTAGTGCCGTGAATTATTGAATGATATTCAAGACTTGTTAGACACTCACCTACCAAGAAACACCAACTAAAGCTACTCGGCGACTTTAACATCCACTTTGACTCTAAATCAAATAAATTCGCAAATGGCATGGAAAATGTACTGACCACCAAAGGACTGAAACAGGTGGTCAACTATCCAACTCATCACAGGGGTCACATACTCGACTGGGTCGCCACAAACAATGTAAAAACTATCGTCGACTTTGTAGTCACAGATCAGGTTTTATCAGATCATTTCGCTGTGACTTTCGAATTGGATATTAAGAAGCCGGGCCCAACGAAGTGCTCTGTCAAGAGTAGAAACTTAAAGAATATCAACGATGACCTATTCTCCGCTGATTTGCAGCGCGATGCCATCAAAGTTCTGTCATGTGTAAGCAAGGTAGAGAGTTATGACACCATGGCGAGGGGTGTTCTTGACTACCACGCCCCCTTCAGCAGATCCAGAACTATTACAGATCGACCGTCGGCGCCGTGGATGACCCTGGAGATAATGGCAGGCAAAGCGGAGCGACGTCAAGCAGAGAGGAGATGGCGGGCACAAGGACTCACCGTGCACAGGGACATCATTGAATAGACAACTTCACAGAAACTCAAATAACTCAGAATCGTAGCGAAAGGTTCCTTTTACAATAACATTATATCAAAATCAAAAGCATCAAAAAGTCTCTTTCGCCTTGTACATTTACTTTGTGGAAAATCTAAATCTGCCCTTATTCCTTGTGCTTCTCCCACAGGAGAGCTAGCAAATAACTTTGGAACATTCTTTGAGGAAGAAAACTCTACAATAAGAGATATATTAAATAAAAAACGGTTCATCTGCACTTGAATTCGAGGAGTTCCACAATCATTTAATTTTGATGAGGAGGTTAGGACGTACCTTCGGCCTATCTGGGACTGTTCTTGAATGGTCTGAATCCTATTTGTTTAAAGGGGGGGGGCTACACCTGGAGGCTATGTCGCTTATTACTGGACAGAATTTTACCACATTTCAGACATATAACAAGCATAGTAAGGAGTCTTGAAATCCGCAATCAAATTTGAGAAAAAGTTTCGTTTCCATGGATACGCCGCCATACTCGATTTTATTGACATGTCTTACGTAAAGAATACCGCACTGGTTTTTTGCATGCGTGTTTACAAATATTAGATCTAAAAATGTGTCTGTTGGTTTTTTTTTTCAATCGAATTAGAACAGTTTTTATGAGTTTTTTCCTGAGGTAGCATTCAAGTTTGCGAAAAATCCGTGAAAATCCACACTCCAGACACCACCAACAAAAATCTATTCTATATATCTAAAATTCAACATACTAATTTTTAGTATTACCTCTTTTGTTCATTCTGTGAAAATTTCACGAAGATTGGATGAAAAATGATGGAGTTATTCAAAAAAGTATAGAGAAAAGTCACATTTTGAGAAAACTGCCGATAAAGAAAAATAGAATACAGACTTTATGAGGAAATAGCGGTTACAAACATGCCCGGTATGGGAAAAAATACGGTTTGTGGGGGTTCTTATGTCATGAAATAGTTGTAGAAGAGGCTGAAGAAGCTAAAAATGCCTACAACTCAAATTCCATGATTTTGAGCCAAATTTTGATTTTGGGGGTGTAGCCCCCGCCCCCCCCCCCCTTAATCGTACACAGTCTGTACTTGTATATGGTGAATTGTCATCTATTTTCAGCTTGCAATTTGGCGTGCCTCAAGGGTCCGTGCTCGGACCACTCGTATACACACTATATACAAAGCCCTTAGGTTCAATAATTAGGAAGCACGACGTTAACTACCACATGCACGCGGACGACACTCAGCTGTAGAAGTCTGTTTTACCAACAAGTTTCAATTGTCTAGTTACCGGCATGGAACAATGTATTGTGGAGGTAAAAAACTGGATGATATCAAACAGACTTAAAATGAATGATGATAAGACCGAAGTTCTGTTTTGCAATTCCAAACCAGGGATATGGCTTCGCCATTTTGACCATAAATAAATATATAGGGAATGATAACATCTTTTTCTCAGATAAAGCGGAAAAATCTAGGCGTTTATTTTGACGGTAGACTCTCTATGCACCATCTTATAAACCATCTATGTAAAGTAATTTATTTAGAACTACGCAGAATAGGACACATATCAACATATCTTAGTGTTGATTCCATTAAAAACCCTCATCTCTTCTGTTGTCCTTTCACGTCTAGACAACTGCAATTTTTTTGTTTAGAAGCCATCCCACTGAAACGTTAAATAGGTCACGGCGACTCTAGAACCAAGCTGCTCGCATAATTTTAAAGAAATCTCTCAAAGAGCATACAACACAATGGCTAATTCAACTACTTTGGTTCCCGGTGAAAGCACGAATTCGGTACAAAATAATTGTTCTTTGTTTTAAGTGCGTCATTAACATTGCACCATCATATCTTTGTGACATGGTCATCGAATATAATAATATACCATCTCGGCCTTAAAGATCGACGACGAAAAGACTTTTAAGACCTGTCCAAAGTAAAAAAGTCAGAGACATCGGAGGGAGAGGTTTTTCACACCACGCCCCCTCCCCCCCCCCCTCCCTGTGGATCGCTTTACCAGCTCATCTACGTGAGTCTACCACTTTATCAAAATTTAAATCAGCACTTAAAACGCATTTGTTTCAGTCCAGCTTCAATCTGTAATTTCCGGCATTCCTAATACAAATATTATTATGTTCTCTCAGTGTCTGTTATGTTCTCTAAGTATCATTTATTCATGCTGTTCTTTTCTGTAAGAATTTATGACTGTGTGAATTCATCAAGGTGTGCGAGGGTGTATGGGTAAGCTTTGTGGGATTGTTTTTACTCAGGGATGTACTGGAGAGAGAGAGAGACAGAGAGAGAGAGAGAAAAGGGAGAGAGAGAGAAGAGATAGAGAGAGATAGAGATAGAGAGAGAGAGAGAGAGAGAGAGAGAGAGAGAGAGAGAGAGAGAGAGAGAGAGAGAGAGTGTGTGTGTGTGAGAGAGAGAAAGAGGATTACTATGGGAGCTGTGCGCTGCATAATTATGTTCATTGTATTATTGTACATCGCATTGAGCACTTCTTTGTGGAAATGCGCTATATAATAATAATAATAATAGATAGCATTTGTATAGCGCATATCCCCGCTCAGCAGCAGGCTCTATGCGCTTTACACTATATTAAGAATATAGATGAAATTTATTATTGTTATTATGATTAGTATTATCATCATTATTATTATTATTATTATTATTATTATTATTATTATTATTATTATTATTATTATTATTATTATTATTATTAATATTACGAGGGTACGATTCAAAACAATTCTATCTCAAGATACGACTTTGAAAAAATATTTTAAAGAACAAATCGGCGCCCACTTTGTGTTAAAACGATGTACCTATAGCTTTAATTTTAAGGCAGCTGTGGCACAGAGTTTTTTTGTCGTATCTTGAGTTTGGCAAAAAAATTGCATCCAAACTGTAGTAAGTCTAGTTACGATACTTTGGTTTCAAATCTCGGTGTCGTATATTTCGTAACAATGACATACGGCAGTTTGGTTTCCAATGTTCCATCCGAATCTTGCGATTTCTACGTCATACCTACTACTGTCAGCGCTTCACTCGTGTGTATGTCCGACTCAATTTTTGCAACAGATTCTGTTTCTCGGGAATGAATTCATTCCGTGGATAGTAAAGGGCTAGTCAGGTGAATGTTAGTTTTTTGTCGAATATAACGCAGAGGAAACGAGCCTGATCGTGGACGGGAATCTTTTCCCCGCATAGTGTCAAATCCGACTGCAGTACACGTCTTCCTGATCTGCAGAAGTGTACTACAACCATCTTTGACGGAGAATACTTGAAACCGTTATTGTTTGCCCACTTTTCAAGTTTGTGCAGCTGCAATATATATCTTAGTTGATTATTTTTAGAATGGCAGCATTTTATCAAGAAGTCCTCAACGTATGACGAGCTGTCTATGCTTTTTTTTTTTTGGGGGGGGGGGTTATCTCTTTTGATTTCAAATAGGAGAGGAGAAAGGATACTCCCCTGGGAGACATCTTCCTCCTGTTGGTGGGGGTCTGAAAGGGAGGATCTGACATGAACCTGAAAGGAACGGTTCTTCAAGAAATTGCCAATGAAGGAACGGAGGTGACCGCGTATGCCGAGAGCGTGCAGGTCTCTGAGAATGCCGTACTTCCAGGTTGTGTCGAAGGCTTTTTCTAGGTCGAAAAAGATGGCGATCATCTGGCCTCCTTCAGCGAACTTCACGCCTACAAAGGTCTCCAGGCCAACCAGGTGATCCAAAGTGGATCGAGTTTTCTTGAATCCGCACTGGAGACCGCTCAGGGAGCCCGTCGTCTCCAGAAACCTCATGAGTCGCCTCTAGATCATTGTTTTCTATATATTAACACAGACAGCTCGTTAGTGCCATTGGTCTGCAATTGGACGGGTGTGTGGTCTTTGTTTGGTTTGGATATTGGAATGACAGTGGCGAGACGCCAAAACTCCGGAAAGAAGTGGGACCGCCACATGTCGTTGTTTCTGTCTAGTAGGAGTGTAAGTGTTTCTGTGGGTAAGTGTCTAATGATCTGGTTGTGGATGTCATCCGGACCCGGGGCTGTATTGCCCAGGTCCGAGATGCACGATGTTAGTTCGTCTAATGTGAAGTCTGCGTTACAGGTTTCAGTGTTGTTTGAGTGGAAGTTTAGGTGTTGTTGTTCTCTGTTAGTTTTGATGTTTTGGAAGGTGGTGTTTTTGTTTGCTTAGGATGAGTTGTTGTCGAGAGATGTAGCTATTGTGTTTGCGATGTCTACCTGTGTTTCAGCTGTGGTTCCATCCGGCCTCTGGATGTGCCTGATGGTGTCTGTGCGCCTTCCTAATTTTTTTTTTTCGATTTTAAAAACTTGTTTGAGTGATGTCTGACTGTTTATTTTGGAGATTTATTTTCTAAACTATTGTCTTTTGCTCTCCCTGAGGCATCTACGAGCCTCAGCTCGAGCTTTTAGGTAATTAATTTTGTTTTCTGTGGTGGTGTTTTCGACGGCTTTTCGATAGGCTGCCTTTTGTTTCTTTACTGCATCATCATAGTCCTGTGAGAACCAGGGGTTTTGTCAGCGAACTCTTAAAAAAGACGTTTTGTCAGCGTTTTGTTTTTGTTTTTGGATGTGTTTGTCGCATATTTCTAGAAGCTTTTGTGGAATTTTTTGTAGTTGAGGTCGAAAGTTGGATTCAGAATCTGGGAACATTCAGGTGCTCTTTTGAAGTTGAAGAGTTCTGAGATCGGGTCATTTTGGAGGTTATTGTTTTTTTAGAAGAATTGGGAAATTGTCTGCACAGTCATTCAGAACAGACCACTCAAAATCTGGGACTGGGTCAGGGTTACAAAAGGTGTGGTCAAAGGATGAAGTGCAAAAAGTGGATCTGCTTCTGTAAGTTGAGGACCTATCATTTAAGAGGCAGATGCTATTTTGGAATTTTAAAAATCTTCTATTATTTTTCCTTTCTGGTCTGTGGGTTTGTCTCCCCAAAGGGGACTGTGGGCGTTGAAGTTAAAGTCACCTAGCAAAATAAACGGTTTTGAAAGCTGGACCTTTAAGTTATTTAGTTGGGTTATTTTGAAGGGGTAATTTGGTGGGCGATAGACTGAGCAGATCGTGATTGGTCTGCGCAGGGTGACCCGTAAAGCAATAACCTAAAATATGTTTGTCTGTGGAGTGTGGACAGTTGTTGTAGGTGTAGATGGTGGTTCCACTGAAAGCAGTCTGGTTCTCCGGGTGAATGAGTAAATCCTCTTAAGTCTATGGTTGAAGCCGGGACGAATTTTGTTTCTTGTATACAGGCCACACATGGGCACAGTGTGGCCTGTACCGCCGTCAGCCGACAAAACGCTTTTTTTTCATTTTGGAGCGAACATTTTTTATTCGCTAAATCGATAGTCTTCTGGGGAGGTGACAAGGAACACCACCGAAGGTCGTGATCGTCTCAAGTCCGGCCATTTCTTTGTCCGATGCGCACTTGATGAGGTGAGCACCAGAGGACAGTTTCTGGACATTCGTAAGAAAGAATCCCAGAACCAGTCGTAGTGCATCTCCTGTTTTAAAAAGGTTGCATTTTGATTTTCCGCAAAAAAGAGGCTCGTTTGTTAGTTGTTCTTTCTTAGGTGTATTGAAATGTTGTCCCCGTATTTTTGTTCTCGAGAAATATAAATGCTTTGAATGAATGTATGTTGTGAGAGGAGTCATTGAAGGGCATTTGCATGCTGGGAACTGATCATGAATAAATTAATGCTTGTATGTTTTTCTTAATCTGTATTGATTCCAAAACCAGGCATTGAGTATGTTGGGTTATGTTCTAGAATTGTCAATTTTCAGTTCTTATTGGTTATTGAGGTGAAAACAACACCCTAATTTGTATGTTTCAACTCTGGTAAAGTGATAAAATAAAACTTTTGCACATTTGTAGTGTGTTTATTTTATTTCTTAAAGTAGTAAGTACTTGTAAATACATGAAATATACTGAGGTTTGGCTACCAAACTGTCGTATCTGGAGTTGCGATACCCCTGTCTGTTGAAATTTGGAATCCAAAGAGTCGTAACTAGAGATACGACACATTGTCTTCAACATCTGACTGTCGTAACTGGTGTTACTACAGTTTTTTGCAAGTTTCGATCTGCAGTTTATCGTAAATCATCATTACAGGAAATATGGCATAGGCAGCCACAAGCTCATTAGAAGCATGGGCGTGGACTACTTTAACGTTCCCATCCAAAAAATGACACCGGTATCTCTGACCGTTTGGACACGAAACAGTTTTTTTCGTCGCCTGAGAGGTAGAACATTTTAGATACAACTTTTTGTTGTTTTTAGATAGATAGATAGATAGATAGATAGATAGATAGATAGATAGATAGATAGATAGATAGATAGAGAGAGAGATAGATAGATAGATAGATAGAGAGAGAGAGAGATAGAGAGATAGATAGAGAGAGAGAGAGAGATAGATAGATAGATAGATTAGATAGATAGGTAGATAGATAGATAGACTCACCTTGTATACTGAGTAACAACAGAAGTACATCTCTATAAGACATCTCTGACGTCCAGATGAAAGAGTTCCTGTCTGTGTAGAGGTCAATGACCGTCCCTCGCCGGGCTGTGGATACTGATCTTTGTGTTACCAACCGCTGCTGCCTTACGAAAGAAAAAAGATGCACGACTTCAAATAATGGTTTCAGCAGCTTGGTGGTAGTATTTTGTGTAATTTATTTAAATCAATATCTCGTCGGCCTTGTGATAAAACCGACTAACCCCAGCGAGGTAAATTTTACAGGAGAAGGAAAAAAATGTCTTATTTTTTAAAAAAGGCCTCTAACGATAAATAAATGCTCTAAACACCTATAAAAACACTTTACCGAAAAACTGTAGACATTTTTTTCCTTTAAAAATTGCTTTTAATGAAACTGCGTGGGTTAGATGGTTATGTCGCTCAAATTTTCCTGGATAAAACCAACCAACCCTCAATTTTGTGGGTTGACCGGTTTTATCAGGAAGCCACTACTGGGCTTGAGTTTGGTTGAGTGCAGCCAAGCCACACTTGACGGTAATGTATTTGATCAGTTGTTTCAATCGTCGAGATCTTTTGTAGAAGAAGAAGAAGAAAAAGAAGAAGAAGGAGGAGGAGGAGGAAGAGGATGAGAAGGAGGAGGAAGAGTGTGTGACGGAGGAGGATAAGGAGAAAAAGAGGAGGAGGAGGAGTAAGAAGAAGAAGAAGGAAGAGAAGCAGGGCTATATTATTGCTGCCAACATACTATCAGCTGCTGCCATTTCATAGCTACGGAGTCAATTCGGGCAAAAACAGCAGTCACAAAGGTGAAACTTTAATAGAAATAGAAGAAGCAGAACAAAGCATGGGTATATTAATTACATTTAAGGTAGAAGAACAGGAGGTTCTAAGGGTAAGGGAGAGCAGTTACAACAACAACTACAAGAACAACAACTACAACAACAACAACAAAAACAACAGTAGTAGCAGCAGCAACAGCAGCAGGCCTTTATAATTTATAACAGTGTCTGACACGGTACTATTGGCACTGGGTCGCCATTCAAAGGCCTGGAAAAAGGTAATACTAAGAAAGAAATGAAAGCAGAAAGCTCCACAATAGCTCTGCTACCTCAGCAATGGTTTGGGTGAAGTTGGTTACATATTATTATTATACAAAAAGACACTGTGAGTACCAAAGAATGCGCCAACTTTCTTCAAGGTGCGTGGCTTGACAACTACTACTTTATTGAGTTTTCTCGACGATAGAAGAGCATGTCTGTCTCACTCTGTATCCTATGGCTACAACAAGGCAATACAACAAAAGTTACCATTGTTTTGAAAGACTCTACAATAATCGAATTTGATTTGATCGCTTTCAAAACTTCTCACTGAGGCAAATTTTCATGGTAATTGTGGTAGCATCGTGGTACGACTGCCTTCAACTCCAGTAGATGTTTATACTGGTTGGCAGTTATCTTCAATCTGTCTTTGCAGAGAGGTCCAGCAGTAACCGTCTTACACAGGGTGTTCAACTTTCCTTGTCCTTGCAGCGCCTGCCATCTATCATCAAAGTTTAGCTTGTACTGAATTTTAAAGACTGGAGTGTACTTTGATGCCTGCAAGTCAGTGACAGTAGGGTCGCCTGCTTTTCTCCCTGGACGGATTGTTTAGTGCTCTCCGACCTTTGCCAGATTTTGAAAAAGCTGTGGCCAAGGTACTTAACTTCCTAGGGCCTGAGGATGCGTCTGGCTTTGAGCATGATGTTCACGTCGTCCAGTGGGATGTACATCAGTGCGTTTTTGAGCGATCGTTCAACAGTGCCATGGACTGAATCCACTTCCATTTGGGTATGACCCTTGGTGAGAATTTCTGCTAAACTGTGATGTCAAGCCCTTTGGCTAGCCAGGCCATTGCACTCACCAGGGTGGCTTTCTGTTTTAGTAGTTGCACCAATCACTGCAGGTGATGAAGTGGTTGAAGTCAGCCACTTGCAATATCAGTTAGTGAGTCAGACATGATGAAAACTGTTGAAGCTCAAACCAACTTCACTTTCATACCAGACATATCATCTGGCGTCTCTGGTAGCAAGATCCTAAATCGTAAAATTGTGTACAGCCAGTTTTGTTTTATAATAGGCGGTGGATGTCTTTAGTGATGTAGGACGCACTGGATCTCCATACAATGGACACACACTTTGTTCTTAGGGTTCAGTGCAGTCTTCCTGTCCACCTCCTTCTCTGGTCTAGCTGCAGCTTTTCTCATATTCATATTTTTCATATTAGCGGTGTATTCTGTTCCTGTGAGGTTTCCAGATTTGAACTTTGTACAAATGTTGCACTGGTCTTTCTTGGTTGAAAGTAAACCTAAATTGTTTTTTCTTGAACATTTGGCAGAACACTAGATAGCTGAATGTGGTTTTCACCCTCTCTGCAAAGTTTTCCATGTACACTTGATGCAGATCTGACGTTTTCTGGATTGTCATCTGTAGACAGGAGGATATCTTCGAAAGTTTGTCAAAAAATTCCTCTTTAGACGATTTCCAGCTGTGACTTGTGCATATCTTCTCATTTTTAGTTTCATCTTTCCAAGGGGGGGCTCTTGTTTCTTTTTTCGGAGAAGACACTTTAAATAAACCAGTGGGTCAGGCCTGTGATGTTCATGAAGATTGTTTTACAAACAGGTGTTCTTTGACCATTGACTCTTGTAAGTGGTATTGAAGGGTTTAATTTCTCCTTGGGTTTTCACTTGCTGTGTAAGATCTCCTTTGGTCTATCATGTTTATCGTGGCATGTACCTAGGCTCTCTCTTCTATCCAAGAGATAAACAGTTCCATGGGAACAGTGATGTCATTGCATTTTGAACCAACCAGTTTACAACTGCAAAGGACGTTGAGTTCACACCCTGCTCGCTTCGTGCCTTGACATGTGTAGAGGCATCCCCAGTTCTTTCAACCTCTTCCTTTTGTTACCCTTCCAATCACTTTCATGCCGTGTCCTTTTCGCAGAGATCAAAGGTGACATAACTGTTATATTATCAACAGATGAGACATTAGTCTGGTCATGTTGATTACTTTCCACTGTGCTGAAGGTCAGAGGTGACGCAGCAAGAGTGGCATCATTTGATGAAATGATATAGCGTTATGTAAGTTAAGGTTTGATATAAGAGAAAGCATTATGTTATGACGCTGAAAAAATAGTCTACACAAAACACTAACGAAATGAACTTTCAAAGAAAGTCGAAAGATATTTCAGAAGGTAATGACTACAATAAACGCTGCAAATGAAAAAAAAGAAGAAAAAGCATTTTAAAAAACAACGATCGTTGGTGGCAGACGTGTGCTGGACAGGTCCCACATCTTTTTTTTTTCTGAGTGAGTTAGTAAAGAATGAAAAGCTACCGACTTCGTCCATTCAATTGCGATGGAAAAATGGTAAGGAGAAGAGACAGTAGTCCTAATAAAGGAAAATGCCTACATAATTCGGTAACTTTCAAGTACAATGACAAAGAAGAACACGCGGACAGAAAAAAAATAGTTTCATATAAAACAAAAGCCATAAAGATGCGTTTGAAATACGGCATTGTCTTGTCTCAAGATAAACAGTTCCATGGGAACAGCGGGGAGTTTTAGTCATTAATAACATTATCAGCAGCATTAAAACGAAGAAAAAAGAGGAAACAATCAGATCTATACAACTCCCAAATGAAACCAACAAGAAATATTCCACAAATTTCCCTTTTGAAGAGCTCACACGGTTACGTGAGCGAATTCTGGACTATCAAACGAAGTCCTGAGACGAGTCGAAGCCGGGGTTAGTCGGTAACGTAGCACGAGGCCCCTCATTGTTAGCGCCACAAAAAACAGCCAACCCTCATTCGCTCCCTCGCAGATGGGATAGTCGGAAACATCGGGCTAAAATCCGATTGGTGCTGGGTTATACGGTTTTATTTCTAATGTTTTAAAGACATTTCTAGACAAAATTTAGATCTGACTTTAAGTGAGCATATGAAATGGACAATTTGCTATCGATAGGGCCAATAACTTTTATTTTGGACATTTTGTGGGTTAGTCGGTGTTTAAGTCCCTGTCCAGACAATTGAGATAATTAAGCATGCGACCTTCCTACCCTGTCTGGTCGATGGGATGGGGTACTCGATAATAATGTCTCCCCACTTGGGAATAGAACTAGGGTCTTCTGCGTGCGGTAGCGAGGCGTCTAACCGCAGCACCATAAACACCGATCCTGCTGGGTTTGAAAACACAAAGGTAGAAAGTTGTAACGGCTCCAAAGCTGGGAGAGAAAACTGTCTTATAACGGCAGTATGAGAATGGTGAGTACACATGTTTGTAAGTGTGTGTGTGTGTGTGTGTGTGTGTGTGTGTGTGTGTGTGTGTGTGTGTGTGTGTGTGTGTGTGTGAGTGAGTGTGTGTGTGTGTTTGTGTGTATGTGGGTATGTGTGTGTGTGTTTATATTAGTGTGTGTGAGAGTTTGTGTGTGTGTGTGTGTGTTTTTGTGTGCATGTTTATGTGTGTGTGTGTGTGTGTGTGTGTGTGAGTGTGTGTGTTTGTGTGTTTATGTGAGTGTGTGTATGAGTGTGTGTGTGTCTGAGTGTGTGAGTGTGTGTGTGTGAGAGTGTGTGTGTATGAGTGTGTGTGTGTGAGTGAGTATGTGTGTGTGAGTGTGTGTGTGTATGTGTGTGTGTGTGTATGTGTGTGTGTGTGTGTTTATATGAGTGTGTGTGTGTTGGTGTGTGTGTGTGTGTTTATATTAGTGTGTGTGTGAGAGTGTGTGTGTGTGTGTGTGTGTGTGTGTCTGTGTGTGTGTCTGTGTGTGTGTGTGTTTGTGTGCGTATGTTTATGTGTGTGTGTGTGTTTGTGGTTGCGTGTGTATGTGTTTGTGTATGTCTGTATGTGTGTCCGTGCGTGTGTGTTTATGTGAGTGTGTGTCTGTGAGTGTGTGTATTTGTGTGTGAGTTGTGTGTGAGTGTCTGTGTGTGTGTTTATGTGTGCGTGTGTGTATGTGTGTGTGTGTGTGTGTGTGTGAATGTGTGTGAGTGTGTGTGTTTGTGTGTGAGTGTGTGTGAGTGAGTTTATGTGTGTGTGTGAGTGTCTGTGGGTTTATGTGAGTGTGTGTGTGTGTGAGTGTGTGTA